GCTATTAGCAAAAGAAATATTTAGGGGCCAACCCTTCAACTCCTTAATGGGGACGTTTAGCGAAAAATGAAAGGTTGCATATTGTTTAGAGCATTATTTTGAACATCTTTTGTTCATTATGGCTCATCAAAATATTTCTCCCTTTCCAGATATAAAGCATCAAAGATTTAGCATTCTGGCCCCTTGTGGCCCCTAATTATGTATCATACGACATAAATATCATATTACATAGTTGTAGATTGTTAATCTTAACATTTTTTGTTCAGTAATATATACCAAAATATTGTTTTCTAAAGAGTTATCGATTAAAGACTTCTGGCCCCTTTCCCCCCTTAATGTGATGAGTCAGCGCTTTTTTCTTGGTATTATATGAAAGATCTCGTTGTTCTGCACGAATGATGTTCAGTATGTTTTAACAAAATATTTATACTTTTAAAGATATGATGCGAAATGTCTCAAAAAATCAGTCATGATTCGTGTCCTAAATTTTGACCCCTACCGAGCTTCCATACTAGGCACTTCCGGAAAATATCCTGACCCAGGTGCAATATGGCAACATGTCCTCTACCATCCCTGAAAATTTCAGCTTTCTAGGTTGAACCGTTTTTGAGTTCCATCACAGACATGGAGGTCACCTAAATTTTGATCAAAGGGCGATAACTTCCGACCGGAAGTGATTTTTTCAAAATCGAAGCGCGGGTACAAACTTCAGATAGAAACACGTCAACACCGAAAATTTGAACTAAATCGATCGAGCCATCTCCGAGAAATCTTCTGCACAAAATCGGTAAGGAGAAAAAAGAATAATAATAATAACTAGATACGATCTCGTTGCGAGCAACGAGTGGGTCTTCCGTTCGACTCTTGATGAGATGAGATTAGATTTTGATTGAGATTTTCATTCTAAAATAATGATTTTTTTTTCCCATAATCTGTAAAAAGACATTGGACAATAAAGACTTCTAAAATCGACTTTTGGCCCCTCACGGCCCCTAAAATTAAGGATCAGCCCTTTTTTCTTCATATCATTTTAAAACTCTCAGGATTATGAACACTTTTCGTTCAACAACTATTCAGAGATTCTTTTTCGATTTCGAGTTATTCGCAAAAGAAATATTAAGGGACCAGCCCTTCAACTCCCTAATGGGGACGTTTAGCGAAAAATGAAAGGTTGCATATTGTTCAGAGCATGATTTTAAACATCTTTTGCTCAATATTACTTATCAAAATGTTTCTCATTTTCGAGATATAAAGCGTCAAAGATTTGGAATTTTGGCCCCTTGTGGCCCCTAATTATGTAAAATACGACATTAAAATTATAATATACAGTTATTGATTTTTGAGATAAACATTTTTGCTTCAGTAATGTATAACAAAATATTGACTGTTAAAGAGTTATCCAAAAAAGACTTTTAGCCCCTTTTGGCCCCTAATTTGAGCGCCCAGCCCCTTTTTCTGGATTTCATCTTGGAGCTCTTAGGATATTGAATACATTTTGTTCAACAACTATTCAGAGATTCTTTTTCGTTTTCGAGTTATTCACAAAAGAAATATTTAGGGGCCGATCCTTCAACTCCCTAATGGGGACATTTAACGAAAAATGAAAGGTTGCATATTGTTCAAAACATGATTTTGAATATCTTTTGCTCAATATTACTTATCAAAATATTTCTCACTTTCGAGATATAAAGCGTCAAAGATTTAGAATTCTGGCCCCTTGTGGCCCCTAATTCTGTAATATACGACATTAAAATTATAATATACAGTTATAAATTTTTGAGATAAACATTTTTGCCTCAGTAATGTATAACAAATTATTCACTATTAAAGAGTTATCGAAAAAATACTTTTAGCCCCTCTTGGCCCCTAATTTGAGCGCCCAGCCCCTATTTCTGAATTTTATCTTGGAGCTCTTTGGATTTTGAAGACTTTTTGTTCAACAACTATTCAGAGATTCTTTTTCGTTTTCGAGTTATTCACAAAAGAAATATTTAGGGGCCGACCCTTCAACTCCCTAATGGGGACGTTTAGCGAAAAATGAAAGGTTGCATATTGTTCAGAACATGATTTTGAACATCTTTTGTTCAATATTACTTATCAAAATATTTCTCACTTTCGAGATATAAAGCGTCAAAGATTTAGAATTCTGGCCCCTTGTGGCCCCTAATTATGTAATATACGACATTAAAATTATTATATACAGTTATAAATTTTTGAGATAAACATTTTTGCCTCAGTATTGTATAACAAATTATTCACTATTAAAGAGTTATCGAAAAAAGACTTTTAGCCCCTTTTGGCCCCTAATTTGAGCGCCCAGCCCCTATTTCTGAATTTTATCTTGGAGCTCTTAGGATTTTGAAGACTTTTTGTTCAACAACTATTCAGAGATTCTTCTTCGTTTTCGAGTTATTCGCAAAAGAAATATTTAGGGGCCAACCCTTCAACTCCCTAATGGGGACGTTTAGCGAAAAATGAGAGGTTGCATATTGTTCAGAACATGATTTTGAACATCTTTTATTCAATATTACTTGACAAAATATTTCTCACTTTCGAGATACAAAGCGTCAAAGATTTAGCATTCTGGCAAAGTGGGTCTTCCGTAAGATTTCCCTTGTGGCCCCTAATTATGTAATATACGACATTAAAATTATAAAATACAGTTGTAGATTGTTTAGTTAAACAGTTTTGCTTCAGTAATGTATAACAAAATATTGACTGTAAAAGAGTTATCGAAAAAAGACTTTTAGCCCCTTTTGGCCCCTAATGATCGTCCAGCCCCTTTTTCTAGATTTCATCTTGGAGCTCTTAGGATTTTCAACACTTTTTGTTCAACAACTATTCAGAGATTCTTTTTCGTTTTCAAGTTATTCGCAAAAGAAATATTTAGGGGCCAACCCTTCAACTCCCTAATGGGGACGTTTAGCGAAAAATGAAAGGTTACATATTGTTTAGAACATTATTTTGAACATCTTTTGTTCAATATTACTTATCAGAATATTTCTCACTTTCGAGATATAAAGCGTTAAAGATTGAGCATTCTGGCCCCTTGTGGCCCCTAATTATGTATCATACGACATAAAAATCATAAAATATAGTTGTAGATTGTTGAGATAAACATCTTTGCTTCAGAAATGTATAACAAATTTTTAAATGATTAAGAGTTATCGATTGTAGACTTTTGGCCCCTCTTGGCCCCTATTTTGAAGTGCCCAGCCCCTTTTCTTTATTTAATCTTAAAGCTCTTAAAATTTTAAACACTTTTTGTTCAACAACTATTCACAGATTCTTTTTTGTTTTCGAGTTATTTGCAAAAGAAATATTTAGGGGCCAACCCTTCAACTCCTTAATGGGGACGTTTAGCGAAAAATGAAAGGTTGCATATTGTTTAGAACATTATTTTGAACATCTTTTGTTCAATATTACTTATCGAATTATTTCCCACTTTTGAGATATTAAACGTCAAAGATTTAGCATTTTAGCCCCTTGTGACCCCTAATTATGTAACATATGACATAAAAATCATAATATACAGTTGTAGATTTTTAAGATAAATATTTTTGCTTCAGTAATTTATATCAAAATATTGACCATTAAAGAGTTATCGAAAAAAGACTTTTAGCCCCTTTTGGCCCTTATTGTGATGAGTCAGCACTTTTTTCTTGATATCATATTAAGGATCTTGTCATTCTGCAAATATTTTGTTCAGTATGTTTTAACAAAATAATTATACTTTAAATGATATGATACAAAATGTCTTAAAAAATCAGTCATGATTCGTGTCCTAAATTTTGACCCCTACCGAGCTTCCATACTATGCACTTCCGGAAAATATCATGACCCAGGTGCAACATGGCAACATGTCCTCTATCATCCCTGAAAAAATCAGCTTTCTAGCTTGAGCCGTTTTTGAGTAACGTGACAGACACGGAGGTCCTCTAAATTTCGATCAAAGGGCGATAACTCTCGACTGAAAAAGAATTTCCAAAAAAGGACTTGCCGGAATTAACTTCAGATGTCAATGCATCAACCATGAAAATTTGGATAAAATCGGTCGAGCCATCTCCGAGAAATCCTCTGCACAAATTTTGTAAGAAGAAAAAAGAAGAAAAATAATAATAAAGGGGAAAAAGAAACCGAAGAATAATAGAAGGGTCTTCCGCTGAAGACGGAAGACCCTAATAATAATAATAAAAGTGAAAAAGAAACCGAAGAATAATAGAAGGGTCTTCCGCTGAAGACGGAAGACCCTAATAATAATAAGAAAAGTGAAAAAGAAACATAAGAATAATAGAAGGGTCTTCCGCTGAAGACGGAAGACCCTAATAATAATAATAATGGTAAAAAAGAAACCGAAGAATAATAGAAGGGTCTTCCGCTGAAGACGGAAGACCCTAATAAGAAAATTGAAAAAGAAACATAAGAATAATAGAAGGGTCTTCCGCTGAAGACGGAAGACCCTAATAAAAGTGAAAAAGAAACAATAGAATAATAGAAGGGTCTTCCGTTGGAGACGGAAGACCCTAATAATAATAATAACTAGAGCAAAGCTCGTTGCAAAGCAACGAGTGGGTCTTCCTTCCTAGCGATAAGCAAAAGATTAAATGTTTCTGTCTAGATTGTCAACTTTGCTAACATTCTCTTTTTCGATTTGTCTCAGAAACCCTTACTTGAATTCTTTAATTTGGTGTGAGCATGAGGTCTAAAGGGTACTCTCTCTAACAGCATTCTTGAAATCGTATCCACAACAGTTTAACTTCCAATATTATGACTTTTGATATCGGATATATCATGTTTGTTGCAATTATGTTTGTGAAACGTGTCATACTACAGAAACATAAGTGTTTTGCTACATTACCATCTTAAAAATGGCTTTAAAATCATTTAATATATAACTAGGTAAATAAAATAAACAAATTATATAATAATTCAAAAAATCCAAATGTATTTACAATAATGATGAACAATCTTCATTAGTTGCAATCAGTAAGTACTTTTATAATAAACGCACAGAAATGTGTTGTGTATGTTTCGAATTTGCAGCTTTCCACTAGCAACTGGTGGTACCTCAATAGGAGTGTAAAATTCTCTGAAAGGTATATTGTAAACATATTACATATGGCTGTGTATTCTTTTTTAGCGGCTTTGGCGGAATGCAGCAATCACTAAATCAAGTACAAAGCTAAAAGTCTTGTACATAAACATAAATAAGAATATCTACGCTAACTTATTCAAAAGTCAATTTCCACCAAATATTGTACAAGCTAAATATAATACATTTACAGCATTAAAGAAACAAATCTCTTTGAAGGTATTGCCCTGCATAAGAACAATTTGAATCCCCTACACTAAGGATGCTCTGTGCCAAGTTTCACTTTGGTTCTGGAAAATGATATTGTGAAATTTTAGACAATGATGATAATGGATAAAATTATGTTTTTAAAAAATTTACTGGTTCCTTTAGCTCAGATGGGCTAATAAGTATGCAACAGGCACAGTTTTGCAGTTGACATTGAAATGTGACTGGACATCTCTTCAATCTTGTTTTAGAAAACTACATGTACATGCCCTATGTACTGAATTCCTTGGAATCATACACATGTTTATGCCTTTAATTAGTTGTATGTGCCAAAATAACAATTTTTTTTACATTATACTGTAAAAAATACACATACATGTATTACAAGATCTTATATTCCTGCTGAAGACAGAGGATCTATCTTAATCATTAGAATAAGTAAGCCTAAACTTTGAAAGGGAAGACCTTAATAAAGAGGTCAACATGCTACACAAACAAAATATTATTATATTTAAAAATAACATTTATTCCAATGTAATTACTGGTACATGTATTTCTGTTACAAAAACTATTTCACTTGAAAAACTGAGAGCAATTAATTGATATGTTCATATTTGTGGATTTATGTTGTCAAATCAAAATTTAAAAATGATACACAGTGTGTTTAAAAATTGTCTTCACAAACCAAAACTTGACTTATTTTCACTATGCTGTTTATTCCATGTCACATCCAAACAGATGATCTTCTGGCAAATCATGGTCATGCTTGGTATCAAAATTCAGTCTTCAGATGAGTCACACCTATCCAAAAGAAATTGAAATTTTTTAATCTATAATTCTTTTACTAATAAAAAGTGCAATTCATGAGATTATAAATTAGATTATCAAATTGGGAGATAAGATATTGTCACATTTTCTGTGTATAATTTGTAAATTTTAATGTACTCTTTCATCAATTAAAAGAAGTTTACACCAATTAAGGCAGTCATTTAAGCTATTCCCTAATAAGACAACATACAAGTGCAAAGTAATCATGCACTAGTGGGTTTAGGATAATGTGCTAGAGTATTTATGACAACATACTAGCACGAGGTGACAATGTGCTAGCATGTACGTCAGTGATAATATGCCAGCACACTGAATCCAACATGCAGTGAAGCTAACAATCAACAGATTGTTTAAAGTTGTGTTTGCATGATATTTTGTTTTGTGTTAACACAGCAGCGTGTTGTTTAAAGCTGCATTGGAGTGGCAGTCTGTTGAAATTAACATGCTAACACACTGCAACTTCACATCATTCGAACACCATAATTTTAAAACTGACAAACCAATATCTTATGATTACTAACTAGGTAATTGCAACTGTAAATGCTGATTTCATGGTGACAATAATACCAGTAATTCACTGTATATCTGCATGAGAACTGATCAATTATAATAAGGTGTGTCCAGATAGGGCCACTTGCTAAAGCTCAATAGCACTTTCATAAAAGCGTGCCATCTTACCGACACAAAAGACGCCATTAGGCTATCACACAGCTCGCCATCACAACACTGAAAAACACTTTCGCACTAACACAAGTTCGCACCACACGCTGTCACACTAACACACAACACACTGTCACGCTAATACAATTTCACACAACAAAATATCAGGCTAACACGAGTTCACACTATCATTCTAACACGAATTTACAAACACGCTGTCTCGCTAACACAAGTTCACACAACACGCTGTCTCGCTAACACAAGTTTTACACAACATGCAGTCTCGCTAATACGAGTTCATACAACACACTGTCTAGCTAACACAAGTACACGCAACACACTGTCACGCTTAGATGAATTCACACAACACACTGTCACGCTAACATGAGTTTACACAACATGCAGTCTCACTAACACGCGTTTACACAATACACTGTCACGCTAACACGAGTTAACACAATACACTGTCACGCTAACACAAAGTCACAAAACAGGCTGTCTCACTATTCACTAACACAAGTTCGCACCAAATGCTGTTGTGATAACACACTGTCATCCTAATACCATTTCACACAACACACTGTCATTCTAATACCATTTCACACAACACACTGTCAGGCTAACACGAGTTCACACAACACACTGTCACGCTAACACGAATTCTCAAAACAGGCTGTCTCACTATTCACTAACACAAGTTCGCACCAAACGCTGTTGCGATAACACACTGTCATCCTAATACCATTTCACACAACACACTGTCATCCTAATACCATTTCACACAACACACTGTCAGGCTAACACGAGTTCACACAACACACTGTCACGCTAACACAAATTCAAAAAACATGCAATATCGCTAACACGAGTTCACATAACACGCAGTCTGGCTAACACGAGTTCACACAATATGCAATCTTGCTAACACGAGTTCACACAACACACTATCTCTCTAACACCAGTTCACACGACAAATTTTCAGGATAACAAGCTCACACAACACACTGTCACGCTAACACGAATTCACACTACATGCTGTCTCGTTAATAAGAATACACACAACACGCTGTCTCGCTAACATGAGTTTACACAACACGCAGTCTCGCTAACACAAGTTTACACAACACGCAGTCTCACTAACACCAGTTTACACAACACAAAGTCTCGCTAATACGAGTTCAATCAAAACTCTGTCTAGCTAACATGAGTTTACACAACACACTGTCACACTTACACTTTATACACGATTTTACACAACACGCTGTCCCGCTAACACGAGTTTACGCAACACATTGTCAAGCTAACAAGAATTCACACAACCCACTGTCAGGCTAACACAATTAAGTTCACAAAACACACTGCCTTGCTAACACAAATTCATACAACACACTGTCTCGCTAACACAAGTTCACACAACACACTCACATTGCTGAGTTTAAAGTAAAGGTCTACCCTAATTTGAAGAGGTTTAAAACTAACATATCTCTATATTAGTAAAAAGCTTCAAATTTAAGACAAAAACATTTATGCAGTAATGTTCCTTAACATGCATCTGGCATACAAAATGAATGAGACCTTAAAAACCTCACAGTACATGTTTACTTAGCTAATTAAAGGTCTAAATTGATGCTATTCAACAATATATATCAACATCTCTAAGTATGTGAATGAGTGAAATTCTCAAATAAATATTATAAATCAAAGTATCAATAAGAAGCTGAACCTTACGTCGCAGGTTCCAATCCCATTGCTAAATGCTTTAGATAGGTTACTCCTATGAGACTGCATAAACCAAGATTCTGTGTCACGGTAGGTGTTAGCACAAAATGGATCTCATACTTCTTAAAGGCAATAAGTGCTGAGTACAAGTCTATATTTGCAGCTAATACCATCCCAAGTGGTGGCACCATGAAATGACTGAAAAATGTATGATTAAGGCAAATAAACAAACATTAAACCATTACAGCAGTCTTATCAAACAAAAAAAGCAAACTTTCTATTATTACAATTTTTTTAAACAAATTTCTTTTGCAATTTAACTGAGCAATATTTGTCCTTTTTTGTCAGTAAAGTATGATATTAAATAATTAAGACTTTTTGAGAACATCTATTTATAGCGAGTCCAGACAGCAGCACAAATCCCTGCCCATAATGCGAGCTCTTATGATAACACCTTGGCAAAAGAAGATTGTGACTTGCACATTGCTCCACACAATTTTTCCGCAGTATACTTTGGACACACAGTGCTTAGCTTCTTTAACATGTTTAAGCTACATTCAAAATTCATTTCTATTTAATTTGAATTAGCTATCCTTACTCATGTTCACATGGAGCTAATGGGAAGTAATTTAATGAGCAGTGAATTCATTCGAATTAAACATTTGAATAAACTCTCAGTGTGAACATTGAGCATGGATGCACCAAATGTCAAATGCGGCTTGACAAGCACAATCTAAATTAAAACTAAATAAGTATCTGCCCTCACCCTTACAGTCACACTGTCAATATATAATTAGTTGAATATATTCTGTAACATTAAGTGCAGTTTGAATTATAGAGTATGATCACTATGATAGATAGTAGGACTGTTGAAATTACATCCTCAAATTAAAAAAAAATAAAATATAAAGCTGTGGGGATTTACAAGGCAAACAGAGAGCGTCTGAACTGTAAAACAGATAATATATCGGTGTGTCTGTGTATTTCTAATAACATCAATGTACGTCACTGTCATGTAATCAGTAGTGTAAATTTTAAGTAATAAAAATATTCTAACCTTCATTCCAATGGTCCAAGCCAATCATACATTAAAATGTCGCCGTCAGCTCTTTCATCACTCGATACAATTATCACTGGGGAATCCGAAGCAGAGTCAAGAGTGTTCATCCTTGTTAATGTGACAGTCAGAATTTCCTCGTAAACAATTCACACAAGATTCTTAGAATATATGAATCGGAATAATTCTGCTTAGAATAATGTTCCAGAGAAGTGACAAAGTACTTGAATCTTCGTAGCTCCAGATTAAATGAGTGTGCATGTCTACAAACGGATTCTTTGTGAGAAAATGTTCAACTTCACAAATCATTGTCATCTCGATTCTCCCTCGACACATTCAAGGTATCACACCGGTAATTGTTTTCACTATATAATTCTATATAGAATAAAAAATCGTTAAAAATCAGGTATTTGTTTACATGAAAAAATATGTAGCAGAAGGTGTTAAACATTACCTGTCACATTAGCTGACACCAAAAAACAGGGTACCCACACGGCATTTTCGGACTTTTTCCATCTGCAAACAGGGCTACCCTCAAATCCACGTGTTTTCACTGTGTTTATAAACACCTCGAGTGCACTACAGGAAGTAGCCTCCTATGCCATGAAAAAAATAGTTCCTGTCCAAAACCTTTATTTATTCACAAAGTACATAAAATTTACTAGGCACAGGTACCAAAGTTGTAAAAGTGGCATGGAAGAAAATAGAAAAACGCCTCAAAAGAAAAGAAAATTAATTCTATATATATGGACCTACATTTGACTAAGTTCATTTTGATTGGTCAATTACCGGTGTGATACCTTGAAGGACCTTTGAAGGTGTTCGATTTTTTCCATTTTTGCACCTGAGATTCATTAAATAATTGTCCCCAACATCCCTAAGTCTGGTGATCTAAATCCCCTTATTTCTGAAGATATGAAGCATTTATCTCCCTTACTCCAGAGCAGTCAAGAACAACACACACAGCACTCTGGAAGCAGTTTTTTGTGCATCTTTTGAAGCAGAATTTCATCATTAAAAGAATAAGCTTTGCAACCAATTTTTTATCCGTGGAGAGTATATGCTTTGTTCTTCACCACACACAGAAAAGAGTTTACAAGTCTAAGACCATTATGTAATTATTACATAACAAAGTAGCATTTTCCCCTTCAAAGAATGAACAAAAATACAGAAATTGTTAAATACTGGGTTGATAATGAACACTGTATCTGGTCAATTTATGTTCCAAATAAAGCCTAGGTATGTGTCTACAAGCTGCTGTGCAGAATTTTATCTAAATGCTGTGTTGTAACTCAGGGCAGTCAAAATGATATCAGCATCTAGGGAGGTTCTTCACAGCTCCCACACTCCATTAAACTGGCTTTGATGATAAGAAACTGGAGACAACAATTCAGATGTAATTTATTGTTGTGATTTATGCAATTGGCTTTCTCTTAAGACACAAATTAGCCATGAAATTTCAATTTAACATGCATAATTATTCTCTTTTCATGGATTTATTCAGGAATTCCAAAGGTTTTTAATGAATTTTCATGATTTATGCAAGATTTTATCTTTCTGTTTCAACAAATTTACATAAAAAAATAAACATTTAAATTATAAAATACAAATATTAAACAATTTAATGAGTTTGAACACTTTTCTATGAGACAAAATGCATCACAGAGACCAGATTCAGGACATCCTCCATGATTCTTTGAGGTGGGTGGGTGTACAAAAACTGCTGATAAAATTTATAGGAAGTGATCTGAGAAGAAATGTGCACCTTATTAGCTGAGTTATAGTTATTCTGATATTTCAATTATGTAAATATGCCAAATTTCTCCATCTGTTAAATTTGGAATTTATTAATATTTCAGTACAATGATATACTTAATAGATCATGCTCATATAAGCATCACTGACTGAGACTTAATTCAAAAGTGACAGTCAACACCTACATATAAATGAAAAAATAACAAAAAACAGTCTCCGACAAACTGAAAAAACATGAATGTCAGCTGCGCAAGCATAAATAAAGTCCAAAGAACCACAAAAGGTATGCCATGGTGCCAAGTGACATTCTTCACTACATGTATGATGCATGGTTAGAACTCAGAATAAGTATTATCATGCAGACCTTGACAGTATTTCAGGATTTTTTGGTCATAACCTTCCTTACTGTGAAAAATTCTTAATGAATTTTACTTATGTTGCTTATGTATTAAATTTATTAGTCAGATCTGACTCATTTCATTATTTCTGTTCTTCCAATGCAGTAATGTATGTATCACTGGAGGTCTGAATAAATCAAAATAAGTCATGTGTCTGTAGAAATTATCATTTTGTGAAAACATTTTTACTTGTTTACATTTTATCGCAGTTGTCGCTTGTGCTAAAAATTCATTCGCAAACCTAGAATTAGTCTATTATTGAAAAATCAGCTTTAACACCCTTTACCGCAAAGTCTGTAGACACTATAATTGACTGCGGTCAGCTGGTGCAAATAATGTTAAGTCATATAAAATGAAAAAACAATATTCTCTGACTTCTTTCAACATTTTAGATGCATAATGCTACCTTTTTAGTCATATTTTAAAGTATTGAGTGTAAAATATAACCTATTGTTAATTTTTAAACAGAAATCTGTGAAAAATAATGTAAATTCTAATTCTAATTTTAAAATTGTGTGTTTTCAAACAAAAAGTTAATAAAATCACATATTTTGTTGTAATATGCCTTTTAAAAATGAAAAATGTCTTTAATAAGGATTAAAATGATTTTTCACAATCACCTTCAAGGTATCACACCGGTAATTGTTTTCACTATATAATTCTATATAGAATAAAAAATCGTTAAAAATCAGGTATTTGTTTACATGAAAAAATATGTAGCAGAAGGTGTTAAACATTACCTGTCACATTAGCTGACACCAAAAAACAGGGTACCCACACGGCATTTTCGGACTTTTTCCATCTGCAAACAGGGCTACCCTCAAATCCACGTGTTTTCACTGTGTTTATAAACACCTCGAGTGCACTACAGGAAGTAGCCTCCTATGCCATGAAAAAAATAGTTCCTGTCCAAAACCTTTATTTATTCACAAAGTACATAAAATTTACTAGGCACAGGTACCAAAGTTGTAAAAGTGGCATGGAAGAAAATAGAAAAACGCCTCAAAAGAAAAGAAAATTAATTCTATATATATGGACCTACATTTGACTAAGTTCATTTTGATTGGTCAATTACCGGTGTGATACCTTAAGATTGTATGCCGGAAGTGAAGTCCTAGTGTAAGCCTCCATTAATTCTCCGGGAATCCTCGATGTTTTACAATATCTCAAGCGAGAATCTACACAAGGAGTTCCAAGTAGCCTGTAAACTGGTTTTCTTTTAGAAGAACTAGCTTAGAAGTGTGATATCTACTTTCGGTTTAGGCCTATTTGAAAGTCAAGGAAAATTTAGAAAAGCAGTACGATGCTTATTGTCATCTCTCACGAGAGATGACACATTAAGTTTGATTTCCTGATGTGAAGTCCCAGTGTAAGCAGCTATTTTTCAGTCTGCAATACATTCAAAAAGTGCGAGGCCACCCGAAAATCACCGACTGCTCAGTTTGACGCGATGATGCGATTTTCTAAATATAGAGATGTAAACAACGAGCGATCTGCCTTATTATTGATAAAGAAAACAAGCTGCAAAGAAATCATACAGAGACCAACATACACAATCGCCTGAATAATGGGTTTTTTCAAAATATACACTGTATGTTCTTATATGTAAAGTCTTCTTGGCTATTACCTAAATGATGGATAGAATCTTCTAACTAGGTCAGCGCGTGTGTAAAGATCCTCTGCAGCCGAGGCGTGGATCCAAGAATTCACAGAAAAACAACATCAAATAAAAACATTCACATAAGTAATCGCATTACTGACTAATAGGAATTGATGGTGAAAACTTCAATTCTTTGGTACGTTAGTCATTCTATAACGCGGTGTCATTTTAAAAAAAAAAATACAAGTCTGATTATAAAATCAAATGCATTGAGAAATTAAAAGCACAACTTATAAGCGGATACATTAATGTCTATAAAAAAAACTACAGACATTGAATGAAAGATCACAAAGAATGATTATGAGTATTTTCTTGCATGTATTATCTATTCTTTTTAAGGATTTATCATGATTAAAGAACTTGCAATCATTTTCTTTATGCAGTTTTAATTGCATAAATGTCAAAAACATCTTTAATTCACTCCTCCTATATTATTGAAATGAAGACCAAATTATAATACATAATAGGTTATATGTTTAGTATGCAGATAAAGTTTACTAAAACACAAAAAAATATACGCACTGCACGGCCACTAATGGCACAATACTGTATATTCCGAAAACAGCCGTAAGTTCAGGGTTGGCAAATGAGAACTTTTCTCTCATAATTTGTAAATGCTTGATTTTAGCTGATAGCATTTAAATGTTATTACTTACTTATGCTTAAAAGCATGTGAACGTGTTGTAGGGGCCCAAAGCCACACAAAAAATGATTTAATTAAATATTATGTATATTTTGGACAAAAAAACTGTGAGTCTGGGCACCCTCTAAATAATCCACCAGTGCTGTTAAGAGTCGATTTTGAATAGTAATAACTTTTTGATGTAAGTTTAGTTCATCTCCCCCTTTAAAACCAAAGGGGTTTGACGACCATATCACTTTAAGGAATGGGAATTTAGTTAACGTGAAATCTTTGGAAAGTTTTGGAGTTGATTAAGTTAGCGCTTCTGTCCGCTGTCAGAGTACATAGAGTAAGAAGCTGCGAAATGCATGCAATATGTAACGTCAAAAGGAAGGCTAAGATTTTACCTGAGTAATTCTTGTGATTTTCTTTTTATACAAATTTTACAAATACTGCGTAGTGGGACATAAACATTTTTTTTTACATTAAAAATAAATTTATGATTATTAAAAGGAAATGGAAATGCGATGTAAAATTCAATTATAGCATGGCTTACTGGGCAAAATTGCACAAAAAACTCTTCCATTTGACAAATTTATAAAGGGATAATGGGAACTTTTGTCATAAAGAGTTATCTCTATCATGGATAAAGCTTACTTTGTGAAAGTGCTAGGATATATGTCAATGAAATTTGTCTCAAAGTTTGTAGTTTTGATAATTTACAGATAAAAGAGACTTTGAAACATTATTTTAGTATATTTCATGCAGTGTAAAATGCCATAGCAACATATAAATCGTGATATTATTTAAACAATTTTAGAAAATCAGATCTACAAATCTGTGTACCAGCTCTTTTAACT